TAACTTTGGATCTTAGGCAAATTATACAGAAGTCATTGGTGAACTTTTTACATTCATGCATATATAAGACAAATATTCCCAACATAGCAGCAACGTACAATGGAACACGGGTATTTCCCGCTGCCGGCGCCTTCCTTAAACCGCCTGTAAAACCCGTAAATCTTTGACATTGACCGCGAGTCCCCCTTACTGCTGCTCCTAGATTTTTAGGAGTTTTTTCAAATGCGCTATTAAAAAATATAGAGTCCCGTGCAAAATGTGAGGGTTTTGCCCTGTTGAAGCTCAAAACGCGTATGGTTCTTCAATAAAATCTTGTAGATTTTTCAGCGGTTTTTGAGCGCGCGCACATCGTGGGCTCAATTCGAACGTTCAAAAGTAGGCAGTCACCTTAATGCGATTTTTTTAACAAAATTTTTTCGAGATTTTGAAACTTATAGGTAATTCAAACCTCAACGTTTGTCCTGTGAGTTTTCAAATAAAATGATTAAAAAATAAACAAGCTGTAGGTTAAGAAACAGTTGCGATGGCCGAGTGGTTAAGGCGTTTGACTCGAAATCCAATGGGTTTTTCCCGCGCAGGTTCGAACCCTGCTCGCAACGAATTAACTTTTTTCTAATCTCATTCAGGTGCCTTTTAAACTCATATAGACAGTAATTTTGAGCATAAAGGTTTTCCATTATGCACCGAATCTAAATATTTTGACAATTTAAATAACTATTGTTCTGAACTGACTAGCGACTGACTAGCCTTGTGTTCACTTGGAAACATAAAGGCGTTTTCACATGTAAAAGAGGCTAATCAGTCGTTAGTTAATGAAGAACAACAGTTTTTTAAAATGGTTCGCCATAATTCGATTTCATATTTTTTATAACCTCATTCAGGGCACTTTGAACTCATATGGACAGTAATTTTTAACGTAAARCTTATTTTCATTATCACAGAATCTAAATATGGCCATGGCGACTCTTGTACGTTTTTCAATGACTAGCGACTGACTATCCTCTCTTACATGTGAAAACTGTTTCCACGTGAACACGAGGCTAGTTAGTCGCTAGTCAGTGCAGAACAATAGTTATTCAAATTGGTCTAATTTTGATTCGGTGTAAAGAGTTGTCGATAATAAATAACATTTCACATGGAAATTGCAAGGGGTTGTTTGATATCTGAAAAATGCGTAAAGTAACTACATCGATGTCGTGCAGTGCAATTCCTAAGCAATAGTTGCGATGGCCGAGTGGTTAAGGCGTTGGACTTGAAATCCAATGGGATATTCCCGCGCAGGTTCGAGCCCTGCTCGCAACGAGAGTTAACCTATTTTTTAGTTCCAAAGGAATTTTMTTTTTAAGATGGTTTTCAATCTTTTTCAAGAGAATGAAATAATAAAAGACACGGCAGCCATGTTGGTTGAAATATAACGAAACTTTTACAAATATTTTGCTAGACTCAAGCAAAATGATGGCTATTTTCATGAGGTTATTTTGGTGTTTGACGACATTATTCTCAGTGGGAGCTCTACGCACGATGCCTAGACTTCTTTCTAACCTCATTCAGGAGTACGTTGAACTCATCTAGACAGCGACCAGCGACTGACTAGACCTGTGTTCACGTGTAAACATAAAAGAGTTACAAATGGATGAGAGTCAGTGCAGAAAAATAGTTATTGAACTTGGTCGCCATATTTCCGTTCTTTTCGGTGTATAAAGTCTTGTCGATAGAAAAGGAATATTTCTCAAGGAAAATGACAAGGGGCAGTTTAAAATTGAGGAAAAACTGTTTAAAGTAAATCGAGTGCATCAGAATTTACATCTGGTAGTTAACAAGTCTCAGTTTAAGAAACAGTTGCGATGGCCGAGTGGTTAAGGCGTTGGACTTGAAATCCAATGGGATATTCCCGCGTAGGTTCGAACCCTGCTCGCAACGAATTACCRTTTTTGAAATGTTATTAGAATCCTTTCTTTTTTTTCGTCGCAGATATACTTTGGTTAGTCGAAGGTCCCGTATCCGGGTATTTTATACTTAACTTGGGTTTAAGCTKTCTTAGAAATTTCACCTTAACTTTTTCCGAATTCTCCATTTTATTATCCATTGATTTCACTGGTCAAACACAAAGCACTCAAGCCTTAATACGCAGCCCGTAAAGTCCTCCACTGTTTATAAATGTAAAGCGCATCGAGATATTTGAAATGCGCTATAGAAAAMCCCCATTATTATATGTAATAGGACTCCATGATGTCCAATTAAGAAATAATTGGACGAGGAAAATTCCGAGGACTTCCAAAATTGGGTGAGGCCGTAGGCCGAGTCTAATTTGGCAGTCAGAGGAATTTTTCAAGTCTAATTATTTCTTGATTGGGGAGCATGAAATTCCATTACCTATTAATTATATATAGCTGCCTAATTAATCCCATATCAACGAGACCTGCCGAATTAAGAAAATAATTGGACAGTTACCTATATGGGATTAATGACAAGCTGTTTAATAAGCCTTTTCATAGTTTAAGAATCGATTCCACTGCGCATGCGATTTTATCCCGAATTTCTCACCTTCTTTTGTCTAAACCTTCTTTTGTTCTTAATTAAACAAAAGAAGGTGAGAAATTCGGGATAAAATCGCATGCGCAGTGGAATCGATTCTTAAACTATGAAAAGGCTTATTATTATTATTCAAATTTGAACCTCGCAACCTCGACTGAATGCTTGGAGTTTGACCTGTGAACCGATGTATCGTAAATGGTGAATTCGCTTGAAAGACCACAAAACAATGGCTCCAAGACGTTGGACGTAATAAACTACAGTAAATGTATGAACACATCAAGTCCATGGCCAACCTCGAATTTGAGCCAATGTTTCGTGGACGTCATTCGAATAGAACGTTTGCATCAGTCATGGCGTCATTGACCTCTACTACCAGACTCCCTTGCACACTTTCTTTTATCCAGTTAATTAGCACTAATTGTCTTACTATTCTCATGAGGGAATACAAGATTAAAAAGGAAAGAAAATTTGCGAAGCATTATGGTAGTGGGAGTCAAATGACGCCATCATGCAAACGCCATGTCCTATGATAATATAACAAAATAATTCATTGAAAAGATTTTTGTTAAATTCATCCAAGATGGGGCTATGACGTCATGTGCAAAGAAGAATCAAAGAAAAGTTTATTCTGTAGGTATTAATGGTTATTAATGGACAGCCGCCATGTTGGATGACTTTAACAAACAATACGTCATTAGTATCTTTTGTTACATCATCCAACATGACCGCCATATCTTTTGTTATTTCATTCTCTTGGGAATGATTCCAAACCAGCATTAGAACCCCTGAAGCACTTTGGAATGCAGCTCAATCTTGGGAACAAAACAATAGGTTCCAATTCTCAGGATATTGGAATTATTTAGTTTCGTCCCCCAGATGGAGCTGCTTTGACATCACATTCAAAGGTTCTATAATGGTAGCTTTTTTGGTCCCAAAAGCAAAACTACCACAGGTAACCCAGTTATATTTATCCCCTAAATTATTTTCTCACCTTTCTTGATGTTGTCCCATAGAATTTTTATATAGTTGTCTCTGTCTGGTCGCGTGTGCTCGTGGAAAAATCCTAACGTGTGCATAATTTCGTGGGACACGTGACCAGGACTCATGCAGCCGTCTCCCAGAGCGATGGTTTGTTTGCCTCTTTGACGACCAATACTGGACTCACATGCGTTACTACAAAACAGGGAACTGTGTTAGTAACTTTTTAAAACTCTCTGACAAGGGGTTGTTTGAAATCTGAAAAATGCGTAAAGTAATTGAATCGCTGTCGTGCATTGCCATTGCAAAATAGTTGCGATGGCCGAGTGGTTAAGGCGTTGGACTTGAAATCCAATGGGATTTTCCCGCGCAGGTTCGAGCCTTGCTCGCAACGAGAGTTATATCATTTATCGTCTTAGTGCGCTAGGTGACATAAAATAAATATATATATATATGGAACTTAATATGAGATTATGTAGAAATTAAAATATAAAATGTTGCTAGTGTTCGTAATAGAAAAAAATTAATTTGAAAGTAAATGTGTCTTGAGCAACGATTTAAACTGTTCRAGCGAGGGAGCATTCTTGATTTTTCRATAGTAGTGATATTCGTCGTAACGCCAATTGTTTCGGCCGCCCCCACACCTTTTCTCAGATTCCTGGATTCACCCCTGTACCTTCCCCACTGCCTAGCCTGCGTCTAATCCGGAATTTTCTTCCTATTTTACGAAGAAAATTCCGGATGTGACGCAGGCTACCACTGYCATGTTTTCTGCTCTTATTTTACCTCTGATCTTTGTAGAATTCCACATAATCTTTTTGGCTTTCGCGAGGCACAAACCGTAGACACGTGTGTTTCTCGATACCAGCCATTGCTTCTTTTATCATCTTCACATCATTATTACCTGAATAGCAAGATTAAATAATACAGTGAACTAATCCCATTGAACGTGAACTCACTCAGCGTCACCGCAAAATATTTAAATTTATTTCGTACTCTTTGCAACAAAAAATTAGATTTACAGGGTGATTTACTCACCAAGGCCAAAGAACCACCAGAATCCTGTCTTGATTGTGTACGGGATATTCACTCTCACCACCTTGTAATCATAATCGATCACCGCTGGCCATAACAGACGATGGTATCTGACGGCACCCCTTTTTCTAATCACGTGGTGTGGATGAAAATCATCTAGGATTRTTTAATATATATTACGAATATATTAGAAACACAAAGACATTTACACGTGCACGCATTAGAGAGGTACCTGGTCGAATAAGAAAGGTTTTCACGATTTTATTTTTATGAACGAACATGTGTTTGTGTATACACTTATTTCAATAAAGTTAGTCATCTGTAAAGCTATAAAACTGAGGCCGACAAGGATTATGGGAGATTCATCTTACACGTTCAWCCGCTTGATAACTGTTGATGGACTTGCGAATCTTCTACCGGTTACAGTCTCACCTCTTCTGAGTATCATCGAGCTGCAGTTTGTATTAAAAAAGCTTTGTATATATATGCTTTTTTGATATGAAAAGTTTCCCATGATGCTTAGTGATCTCAGCTTTCTAGGTTTTTGGTGACTAACTTTATTGAAATAAGTGTATGTCTGTCTAGGCGGAAAGGTCATTAAGATATGTTCAAGTGCCCGCAATACAGAGGTTACCGGTCGTAACAAAAATGTTTTCACGAGGTATTTTCATGAAAGGACTTGTTTGCGTAGATTTCTGTCTAGACGGAAAAGTCGTTGAAGAGTTTCCAAAAATGCTTGGCGCCACATTCTAACAACAGGAATAAAGCCTACGAAGGAACTAGAAAAACAGCCTTCAAACTCTTAATACGTTTCATCGCTGTCCTAGGCAAAATATTTGAAAATATGGATGATAAAATTGGAAGTATTATTTCTATTAATTATTTCTATTATACCAAATGTACAAAATGAGCTTCATTACGAGTCTTTTTTAGTTTTTTTTATGGATTAGGTCATTGCGTTTTCTCAAAAAAATTCAAAAATTTTCATCGAATGATTTGTAATTTTTCTACAGAATTTTTGAATCCGGCCTTGAATTCGACTTAATAAAAGCTTCTAGGGCTCTCAGTATTGTAAGCAAAGCTTCGACTAATGAGCAGTATGCCCAGATTAGGAGGTAGTGTTCAGATAATATAGAGGAATTTTACTTGGCTGTGAAACAAAGTGTAGCACAGTGACTAACAGCCAAGTTAAGCTAGACAATGAAGCCACACAAGTAAAACGAAAGAAAACAATTGGAGTTTATGTTTACTTCTATGCATTAAGCTGACTATTCTTTCAAGGGAGATTAAAATCACTCTAGGTGAGCTTATACCATAATTAGGCAAATACATTTGCAATGTGTATCTTTCTTGTTTATTTATACGTATATAAGATCTTAGTCGTAATATAAATTCAGATGTTATACAAGTTTTAAAATGGATGCAAAAATCTACGAAGTATTTGTTCAAAGTTATGAACTAGAATATCTAGTTATGCTGGCTCATCTGAGGTTTAATTGGAGGATTTAAGCATGTTATTATAAGTGTTTTCTTTTAAATCAGTTGAAGTATCGATTCCCGCCTTTAGTTATATCCGTCCTTTTGTCATTCGATTGTCTTTCTAGCTCATAGATATATACTTTTGGTTGAACTTTAGTCTTTATAATTTATACATAATGATAGTTATAAAAGAAAATTTTGGAGAACTGATTATTTGCAGAATAAAGTAAAGTGCCGGTAAGCTGGAGCGAACTAAAATTCTCGAGCCAGCTTACCAAATGAAGAATTCGTAGAAGAATTGAATTTWAAAAAGTGAGTAGTATTGTAGTATTGGCCTACCTCTCGCTTCAGACTTTGCCTTGCAAACAATTATAAAAACACTGAACAAACCCCATAAGTAAAAAGCCTTCATGTTAATAGTGAAAGGTTTTCCTTGCGAAGAACGTTGGAACAAAATTTTGGCGCTCGAACGCAATGACCGTGTAATGAGCGTTATATAATCGGCTTAGTGTGTTTTGATATGCTTGGATTAACACTGCATGACTTGTGTAACGCAAGGGTGCCTTCGAATCATGCCTATAGTGAAGGCATTTAACCCGTGAAATAATACTAGTCAACGTATAGTTGACCAATTTTCTCCAGTTTTCCGTGGTATGTCATCTTATTTACCACGATTTTCGTCATCTAGCCCTAAAAAATGTTATGGACTCACGGGCCTAGCCGAAAATAGAAAATATATAAGCTATACTGGGGGAAATGYGTAAAAAATATAGCGGGACTTAGATATAAATTCTTGCCCCAGTGTACCTGAGGGAGATTTAGAAGATAAGTAAGAAAAATTGGGGGATTTCGTAAAAGACTATTTTGAATAARATTTTGCGCTCTGAAGACTAAACTATCGTGAATATCGTTTTTTCTCCAAGTCTACTTAAATGAGGTTTCTGTGTCAACACACACCGCTTGCAAACTGGTGACCTGTTAGTCATTTAATTCAATCATGGCGGACCGGACAATAATTTTGCTTGGGGTCCCTCTCCAATCCCCTCCCCCCTCCCCCCCTCTTGGAAGCCGATGATACGTGCATAATTTGTACAAATTCGTGCTATTGCTTATAGAGTTTTTTACGGATATCGGTAGAGTTTACATGGGAGAGAGATGAAATCTGTGAAAAGATGACTCATTTACAAGGCTAATTCTGTGCAAATGAGTCTGACGTTTGCGAGACCGACCCTATTTTATTATGGGATCCCTGTGGTTTATGCTCTCACAATGATTCATTGTAATATTTACAGGGTGACATAATAGTATTGTACTGTCCTGTAACAGGAACGATATCTTCGCACTGTCGTGGAGCACAATTTTGTAGATCATCGCAACCTATCGCTCGCTAATTATTCAGCTGCATCCATTGAAGCAAAGATGACATCGTTCGCCATCGATACAGGGGATTCTTATGAAAAAAGATTTCAAATTTACCGAGAAAAGTCCGGAGAAAATTTCCGAGACCTCGATGTCCTCAAGTCACGTCTACCAGGAGAAGCGTGTTCAATCCTTAAGGAAACCGGTCGAGATCGCCTAAATATCCTTAGCATCGGAAGTGGCTCAGGAGAGGTTGATTTTGAAATTCTCAAAATGATTAAGGCAGAGCTTCAAGCCAATGGTTATGACTGCGACAAGATGAAAATATTCAATCGAGCAGTTGAACCTAATGAGCACTACATCAATGCCTACGAAGCTTCAATTAGTGATTTCCAGAAAGATTTAGGTGGACAAGTCACATTTGATCTAGTAAAGGGAGCGTTCGAAGAATATCTAAAGAAAAAGCCTGACTCAGTTAGGTTTGATATTATTCACTGGGTACGGAGTATCTACTATGTGGACGCGGAGCAAGCGTTGCGTGACTGCTTCGATACAGAGCTGAGCAATGGAGGGAAGATAGCTTTAGTCTTAGCCGGCGCTGATGACCTGATTAGCCACGTCCACAAAATGCTCTGGCCGAATGGAAAGCCTATGAAAAGTGAGCCATTTGAGCTTCAAGATGTGGAGAAAATTTTGAAGATTGCTGATAAAAATGGATGGAAAAACGACGTTTCTTCAGTGCAGTACTCACTCGATGTCACTGAAATTCTAGACGACAAATCGATCATTGGGAACCTATTGTTGGATTTTATCACCCAGAAAACTAATTTCCGTGAAACTACTGAACAGCAAAAGCTGACTGATACTTTAGAATTGATGAAGAAAAATGTTGTTTTGGAGGATGGGAAGTATTTAGGCAGAAAAAGTAGCAATATAGTTTTTTTCTACAAATAGTTCTTATCATACATGAAGAAGATTTGCCTCAAGGGAGGGGACCCTAGGGTCACTGTGCAGTAGATGCATTGTTATACTTTATTTTCCCTTGGTTTTAGAATGAGACTTGCTAGGTCTCTAGCATAGCTGCTAATTATCCCAGAAAAATTATAAATTATAAAAATTGTTAATTATATATTCTTGATCAAAGATTCTGTTCTTTTTCACTGATCTACCCTGTTTAATTGACTAAACAAAAAAATTCTGAAATTTTGTTTTAAGACAGTTTTATATGATTTACTGAAGAAGATCCGTGGTCACAGATCGAAACGTCTGTAAAAGTACAATGAAACTGAATATTATTCTTCGTGGAAAAGTGATAAATGATACTTATTCATTTGTCTTACAATTAAAGGTTATTTGTAGAGGACCGCGACGTCTCGACTGCAAACTGCTAGTCATTATCATGCGATGGTGTAGACTGGTTGGTGTGTCTCTTATACCCGTGGGGGGTAGGGGGCRGGGTACTCCCCTATATTTGCTATACGGGTATGTGCCGTCCCATAGGGTATGGCTTTTCGGTTTTTGGGTCTGGGGTTGGGTATCATTTTTGTCTGCTGGGATAGGGTTAACGGATTTCGTCGTTTTTGTCTGACGAATAGACTACGCTTTCTGATGGCACAAAAACAATAAAAACGTTAGTTAATATTGATTGCAATCTATTGACTAACCGGGTTTAGTCTGGGATAGGTTTTACAAATCTTAGTTATAGTCTGGGGTAAAGTATGTTAAATCAAAATTTTAGGTCTGGGATAGGCTCAGGGTTTTGAGGTTCTGGCGGCACACTCCTACCCAAGTTGGGGTGGTAGTACCCCC